GAAACATGTCACGCTCGGCCTCGACAACGGTTAGCTTCTGCTGGGCTTCTGCAAGAGAGGACTGAAGGATATCAATCGTCCTCTGAAAATCCTCAACCTGCGCCTGCAGAGCTCGATTCTCGCGGTACCTATACGCCCCCATACCTGAAAAGAAAGAAGGATCATATTTAGCACTTAAGATAGCACGAATCACAAGCATACAAAGAATTTATTATTAACATTCAAACGAAATGCGCTCATATGTATGTTACCAACAACCAAACTAGAAAAAAATCACCTTCAGTGCGAGTTCCGCGGGCGGCAAGAGGATTCGGCTCGGCAAGCGCCTGTTGCTGCTGTTCAGCAACTTCATGGTGGTGCTGCTGAGCAACTTGATGGTGTTGCGGCTGAGCAGCTTGATGGTTCTGACCACCAGCTTCTCCAGAACCGTCATCTTCGCCTTTGGACTCCTCAGCCTTGTCCTCATCCAGCGCATCGTCACGATCTTCTAACTGCTCGTCCTCCTGCTCCTCATCTTCATCCTCGTCGAAGGCGACGCCGTTGACATCCGGTAACACATCGGCAACCAGATCGCCAGTGGTTGTGTCAGCGACGGAGTGAACGTTGTGCTGCTGGGGACTTGCAGCACAGGCGAGGTTCTGCTGCACCGTAGCAACAGGGGCCTGCTGGACAGCAACAGGGGCCTTCTGGGTACTTGCGACAGGGGATGGGTTCCGGAGGGAGTTAGAGTTGGTGTGAAGCTGCTCTAGGAAACTCACGCCCGTTGGTTGAGCACCGTGCTGTCAAAATGTAAGGTAGTTTATATTGTGTAGGCTATAGTGGGGTAGCCCATAAGGGGTACAACCCAATTAGGGTTAGTAATTGTACCCAACTCTTTGCAAAGTTCATTCATTCTTGTTGTTTATTCTGACATGGTATCAGAGCGAAGGTCTCGGGTTCGAGTCCCAGTGTGTGCACTTCAGGCATCCCAGTGCGGGGGGGTGTCAGAGGTCCACTGGTGATCCCCGATTGATCCTAGGGAAGGGTTACAGGCATGTTGGCTTGGTGGGTTATGGGCGCACTGACCCGCTACTTAACAAGCCCTTTTATCCCAATAGTCTAGTGGTTGGGATTCTGTCAGCCTCCCCACTGCCTGCTCCTTCTCCTTACACTGAGCAGTCCGGCGGTCTTACCGAGCGTCGTGAGCCTGCGTCTCGTCCTGTCTTGTCTGTTTGCACCGCTCGTCGCGTTCCCCGTTCGCGTCCTCCTCCTGTCCCTGGCACGCACGCTATGGCACTCCGTCCTTCCTCTGTTCCACTGCGTGTTCCTCTGCCTGCTCCTCCTGAGTCCTCTCTTCCTGAGGTCCCTGACCCTGAGTCTGACCGCGCTCGTGCTGCCAGTCAAACTGTCTCTCGTCTCCTCGCCACTGCTGTCACTGACCCTTCTTTTGAGTCTGCTGCTGCGTCTGCTCTCGTTGCTGAGCTGCTTGACTTTGCTGCTGCCTGCCGTCTAGACTACACCACTGCTCTTGTTGCTGAGTCTGCGTCTGCCAGTCCTCCGTCCGTCGGGGGTGAGTGTGCTCTTCACACGGACGTCCTTGAGGACAAGCAGGAGGACTTTGAGTGTCTTGCAACTGCTGTACCTCGTTTTGCTTCCATGCTGCTTGCCCCTGAGGGAGACCCGGATGCTCCAGACATCCCGACCCCGCGCTCTTACGCAGAGGCGATTACGGGTCCTTACTCCTCTCAGTGGCAGGCAGCCATGGATGCCGAGATGGCATCCTGGAAGTCCACAGGCACCTACGTTGACGAGGTTCCCCCACCTTGGGCGAACATAGTCGATGGCATGTGGATTTTCAGGGTGAAGCGGCCGCCGGGTTCTCCGCCTGCCTTCAAGGCGCGTTACGTTGCTAGAGGCTTCAGTCAGCGACAGGGGGTTGACTACTTCCAGACCTTCTCCCCCACCCCGAAGATGACCACTCTTCGGGTGTTGCTGCACGTCGCTGCTCAGCGTGACTACGAGTTGCACTCTCTGGACTTCAGCACAGTTTTCCTGCAGGGCAGCCTACACGAGGAGATCTGGCTGCGCCGCCCACCTGGCTTCACTGAGTTGTTTCCTGCAGATACTCAGTGGAGCCTCCGGCGGCCAGTCTACGGTCTCCACCAGGCGCCTCGTGAGTGGCACGACACACTGAGGACTACACTTGCGGCTCTTGGGTTTGCTCCTGCTACTGCTGACCCGTCGTTGTTTCTACGCACCGACACCTCGCTGTCGCCGTTCTACGTCCTCGTGTACGTCGACGACCTCGTCTTTGCCACTGCTGACACCGAGGCACTGACCCTTGCGAAGTCGGAGCTGCAGAAGAGACACACTTGCACTGACCTGGGTGAACTGCGTAGCTAACTTTGCTTGCAGATCACTCGGGACAGAGCACGGCGCACCATCACCCTGACTCTGTCACACATGGTGCATCAGGTCCTTCAGCGCTTCGGCTTCCAGTTCTCCTCGCCTCAGCCCACTCTGTCTACCAGCCACTCGCTCTCAGCTCCACCTTTGGACGAGTCCGTAGAGCCGAGTGGTCCGTACCCAGAGCTTGTGGGTTGCCTCATGTACCTGATGACGTGCACACGACCTGACCTCGCGTACCCTTTCAGCCTCTTGGCTCGCTACGTCGCTCCCGGTAGGCACCGAAAGGTGCACTGGGATGCTGCGAAGAGGGTACTGCGTTACTTGTGCAGTACGTCGGGCATGGGACTCGTGCTTGGAGGACGGGGTCCACTTGTCCTCACTGGTCACGCAGACGCTTCTTAGGCTGACGACTCAGCTACGCAGCGGTCGTCACAGGGTTACACCGTCAGCCTCGGTTCCGGCTCTGTTTCCTGGCGGTCTACCCGCTCGTCTTCGGTTCTCAGCTCCAGTTGTGAGGCTGAGATCTACGCAGGGGCCATGGCTGCACAGGAGCTACGCTGGCTCACCTACCTGCTGACTGACTTGGGAGAGCAGCCTCGTTCGCCTCCTGTTTTGTACGTAGACAACAAGGCCATGATTGCCTTGTGTCAAGAGCACAGACTGGAGCATAGAACGAAGCACATCGCTCTGCGATACTTTCTTGCTCGAGAGTTGCAGCAGCGTGGCCAGCTTCGTCTTGCGTACGTGGCCACTCGGGCCAACACTGTTGATATATTCACCAAGGCACTTCCGCCAGTTGATCATTAGCGCTTATCTACTGTGTTAGGCCTTGTGCCTACTTTGCCTCACTTGCTCACTGCTTGAATCTGCTTGTATTGTGATATTTATATATACATGCATGCTTGCACTTGCTAGGGTATGATCACTATGTTGTTTGTTCTCATGATTCTGCATGTGAACTGGCCTAGTGGCCCTTTGCTTGTGCTCGGACTGTGTGGTGACTTTGTGATCCACGTTGAGCTTGCTTTGCTGTGCTTGACTGGTCTTTTGACCACTTGTTCTCCCCCACTTTGCCTATGGTGTCAAAATGTTATATAGCTTATATTGTGTAGGCTATAGTGGGGTAGCCCATAAGGGGTACAACCCAATTAGGGTTAGTACTTGTACCCAACTCTTTGCTAGTTTATTTATTCTAGTTCTTTATTCTGACACGTGCGACTATTGTTCAAGCGGCTCCTGGGTAGTTTCGGTTGCAGGTAAGTCGTCTGCTTGGGGTGTAGGACGTCCACCCTTTTTGCTCGGCTTCTTGCCCTTCTTCCCAACAGAATTTGCGGGGCGGCCACCCTTCCTGGCGGCGCTAGCGAAGCAGACACGGCGCTTGAGAGCTTGCTTGTTGAGAGCGTGTTGCCTGTTGACGAGCTCATCTGCTTGAGATTCTTTCAAAGCTTGTGCAAATGGCGATTCTAGCGTGACCCCTCCTATCTCCTCACCAGGTCCCTGTACCTGTCTCGTCAGCCCGTTGCCTGCCCGATAATTTGGGTCCTCGGTCTCTCCCATTGTGATCTACAATAAATTACGATTTACTTCCCTTCACAGGTCAAATACTATGGTTTTGGGCTAAGGGCGAGTTCAAAAACAGCACGAAAAATACCCAGCCGGGATTTGACCGCCTGGGGTGCGATGCCAACAGAAAAAAAGCACGATACTGCTAAGGTTGTCTCTCATTGGTGGAATCTCGTGATATGGCGCCAGCACATTGCATCCAATTTGAGAATGCTGGCAGCTCCAATAATCGTGATTGTCGAATGATCACGACTGCATTTTCGTGTGCAACGAGAAATCTAGACCATCTATATTATATCTTCGCGATGACAGCACGACTGCTAGCCCGAAACCGAGGGCACAGAAAGGGTGAAGGTTGCATCCACGTCACTTTGCCACCCATTTTACAGGCACGCGTCACCCACCTGAGCATCTAATCACTTGAGCCGCTTCCATAGGCGCGTCGCTACCGGCTACGATTGGCCATTGATTCGTGAGTCTGAGTGCATGTCATCCTAACGTTCTGCCGAGTGCTCGTGCTATTCATGCGTGCATTGTTTGCATGAGCATTTTGTTAGGCACAGTGAGCAAGTGAGGCACAGTAGGTACAAGGCCTAGAACAGTACAGAAACGCCGATGATCACAAGGCTGAAGTGCCTTGGTGAAAACATCAGCAGTGTTGGCCTGAGAGGCCACGTAAGCAAGACGAAGCTGGCCACGCTGTTGCAACTCTCGAGAAAGGAAGTAGCGCAGAGCAATGTGCTTCGTTCTGTGCTCTAGTCTGTGCTCCTGACACAAGGCCAGCATGGCCTTGTTGTCGACGTACAGAACTGGAGGAGAACGAGGCGCCTCTCCCAAGTCGGTCAGCAGGTAGGTGAGCCAGCGTAGCTCCTGTGCAGCCATGGCCCCAGCGTAGATCTCAGCCTCACAACTGGAACTGAGAACAGAAGAAGAGCAAGTAGACCGCCAAGAGACAGAGCCGGAGCCAAGACTGAAGGTGTAACCCTGTGACGACCGCTGCATAGCCAAGTCGTCAACCCAGGAGGCGTCAGCGTGACCAGTGAGGACAACTAGCCCGTCCTCCAAGCACGAGCCCCATGCCCGATGTACTGCACAAGTAGCGCAGTCGCAGACGCAGCAGAGAACTCAAACAGAGGGTCAGTGACAGCAGTGGCCAGGAAGCGCGTGACAGTAGGACTAGCAGCACGAAGGGAGTTAGACCTCAGGTCTGGACCGTCAGGAAGAGAGGACGCAGGAGGTGAGGGCAGAGGGACACGCTGTGGAGCAGTGGAAGGACGCAGTGTCATAGAGTGAGTGCCAGGGAGAGGAGGAGGACGCGGACGCAAAACACGACCAGCGCGAGCAGTGAGGACAGGCGACGCAGCACGAGACACAGGCGACACAGGACGCGACTCAGGCTCACGACGCTCCGTAAGACCTCTAGTCGGTCCGGAGTAAGGAGAAGGACCAGGCAGTGGAGAGGACGGCCGTAACGGCGACTGTGACTGGACAGGCGGTAGACTGAGTAACGGAGGAGTAGGACCAGGAGAAGGCGGTAGACCAAGAACCTGCTGAAGGAGCGGAACGTAGTACGGCCGCGACCGCGCAGCGCCTCCAGAAACAGGAGAGACAGCACCAGCAACACCTCCAGTAGCTCCAGCACCAGCAGCACCTCCAGCAGCTCCAGCACCAGCAGCACCTCCAGCAGCACCAGCACCAGCAGCACCTCCAGTAGCTCCAGCACCAGCAGCACGTCCAGCAGCTCCAGCACCAGCAGCACCTCCAGCAGCTCCAGCACCAGCAGCACCTCCAGCAGCACCAGCACCACCTCCAGTAGCTCCAGCACCAGCAGCACCTCCAGCAGCTCCAGCACCAGCAGCACCTCCAGCAGCTCCAGCATCAGCAGCACCCCCAGCAGCTCCAGCGCCAGCAGCACCAGTAGCACGGCGACAGCGTCGAGCGTACCACTCACGAAGCCGCTGCGGAGAGAGGGGCTCCCGCCGCAACGGGACACCTGGAGAACCTCCAGACTCAGCACACGCAGGCTCAGCACCCCAAGACGCAGCACCCCCAGAGTCAGCACCCCCAGGCTCAGCACCCCCAGTCCCCGCACCCGCAGGCTCAGCACCCCTAGCAGCACTCGAGTCGACAGCTACCTCGACCGGCTCGGCAGGGTCTACCTGAGACACACCTGAGGGGGCAGGACCCTGAGGGGGGAGGGGGTCTACAGGAGGAGTACTTGGTACTAGGAAGAGTGGCGGTGGGGGGAGAGAGGCAGCGCGGTAGAGGAAGAGACGGTAGTAAGACACTGACTCGTCAAACGTGACGTCCTGAGAGGACAGAACACGGCGCGAGGTGGGGTGGTAGAAATGCCACCCGGGTGCGTCAGGGGGGAAGCCAAGGAAGACACAGGGAACGGCACGGGAGGAAAGCTTGGCCGCTGAAGTATCGCGGACAAAAGCTCGAGATCCCCAGACACGGAACGCAGACGTGTCGCCAACCTTCCCTGTCCACCTCAGAGTAGGTGTGGTCTCCGGCAAGGAGACACGAGCCTGAAGGTTGATCTGATGCGCAGCGTACTGAGCCGCGAACGGCCACAGAAAATGGGGAGCAGCCGCATGGATCATGGACGTACGAGCGACGTCCATGACCATGCCAATGCGGCGCTCAGCAATCCCATTTTGCTGTGGGGAGGTTGGAAGCGTGAACGTCTGGCGGATGCCCTCCGCACGACAGAAGGCCCTCAGGAGGTCGGAAGAAAACTCACCACCTCTGTCTGATTGCAGACGCAGAACAGGAAGGTCCGAGCCGAAACTCTCGCTGAGCTGGCGACGGGCACCGCGGATCCAGTCGATCAACACCTCAGTGACCTCACCCTTGCGGCGCAAGGGGAAGACTGTGGTGTAACGCGAGTAGTCGTCAACGACCAGCAGGAAGTAACGCTCGTGACCCTGTCCACGGACGCAAGCTGGGCCCCACACGTCCATGTGAAGAGTCTGTAGGGGAGCCTCTGTCGGAGGGAACTTGGAGGAGTGAGGAGCGGCGCGCTGCCGGCCCTTGACACAGGGAACACAGGTAGGGGCAGGCCCTGGAGGAAGGGGAGGGAGGGACCGGGGGAGACCAGAGACAAGGGTACGGGAGGCCATACCTCGAGGACGAGGCAGGGAGGGGTGACCAAGGCGGTGGTGCCAAAGGAGAGTCTCGTGTGCCAAAGGACGACACGAGCAGGGGGCAGACGCAGGACTAGACCTGGACGCGGCAGCAAACACCTGACCAGACGCGGCTAACTGACCAGACGCAGTAACCGGAGGAGACGCAGTAGTCAGTGTGTACAGACTCGACCCAGGCCGACGGGTGAACATGGCCAGGTGGCGGCCCGTCCGAGAGCAAGTGCAGTGGGTCACACGCTGACCTCCAGGGGTGAACTCGTCAACCCACAAGTCCTGAAGGTCAGCTCCACTCACCAAGTTCGTAGAGAACGAGGGGAGGTGGAGTCCCGACAGCAAGCCCGACGGGGCCACAGGACACAGTAGAACAGTAGAAGAGTGCGCAAGGACTGGGCCCCCAGAGGGGTCAGCCAGGGAGACTGCGACAGGCCGACTGAGCGGCGTGAGTGTGGTGCTGTCGCGAAAGAAGGAGCGCGAAGCACCAGAGTCAAGTGTGAAAGTGTGCAAGGCCTCAGTGGTGCAGTACCAGAGAGAGCAGACTCACCAGCACCTGGTGCAGCAGACTCACTAGTACCTGGAGCAGCAGTCGCACTAGCACCTAGAGCAGCAGCCTCAATGCCTGGGTCGGGCGGAACACTCAGGTAACAGTCACCCTCAGCACTATCAGTCACAGCATACATGGCAGCAAGGATAGCATCGAAATCAAGATCAAAGATAGCAACATTCTGCCTAAGCAGATCACCCCAGCGAGGGAGCTCAACAGCGTCAGGAAACTGGGCGCGCCAGGCGTCCGTCAGGTGACTGAAGCAACGCTGCGCAGTGTGGGACAGCCCGCAAGTCTCCCCACGACGACTGCCGATGCGAAGAACGTAAGTGGAGGGACCAGCACCCCCAGACCTCCCACGCCCAGCGTACCACTCACGAAGCTGCTGGGCCGACGGGGTCTCACGGGAACGCGGCTGTTGCTGGCGCTGGCTACCACCAAAGCCTCCACGCTGCGTGGCTGCACCTCGACCAGCACCACCGCCACTGCCACCCCCGCCACCGCTGCCGCTGCCTCCACCACCGCTGCCGCTGCCTCCACCACCTCCACCGCCGCCACTGAAGCCCCCACTCCCGGCACCACCCCCACCCCCACCGCCACCCCCTCCGCCTCCTCCACCGCCTCCGCCGCCGCCTCCGTCCCCCCCACCACCCTTGCTCCCCTTGCCCTTGCTGTTGTGGCGTCTCCCACTAGGGGCAGACTCAGCGCCGACCTCCTCAGTGCCAACGAGGTCGACAGCAGCAGCAGAAGCGACAGAGGGGAGAAGGGGGACAGGGGAACACCCCTCAAAGAAAGGGGTGCGACGGTCGCCGCGAGAAGCACCTACAGCTAAGATACTCTTCTCAGCTGCAGCTAGGCGCTCCTCTAGCAGGTCGACAGTGAGCTCGGTGGGGCAAAGGGAGAGAAAGTGGTCCCTGATTGAAGAAAGGGAGTAAGGGAGGCGAGTGACTAGGTAGTAAAGGGCGATGTACATGGGGGGGGGGTTCTTGGCACAGAACTCAGTGGGAAGGGCAGCGCGGTAGCGGGCGTCACTAGTGCGGAGGTGAGCAACTAGGTCAGCGACTGTGGCAAAGGCGGCAAGGTCAGGGAAAAGGTATGGCAGCATGAGGCGGCTGAGGGCAGCAGTGGCAGGGGAGGAGTAGCGCGCAACTACAGCGTCGTACAAAGACTGAGCAGTCTTGTACTGACCAAAATGCGCGCGCTCAACAGGCGGCAGGTGGTCCACTGCGAGCGAACAGTAGTGTCAGCAGTGGCAGCAGGAGCAGTGGAGACACCGGACGTGTGATAGAAAAGGGATACCCCATCCCTAGAGTCACACTGAAGAAAGAGCTGCAAGTCGTCAATCCACACATCAAACTCAACTGCACGCCCCTCAGCATCAAAGGTGAGAACAGTGGGGCTAGCCATAGTAGCAGTAGCAGCAGGAGCAGCAGAGGCAGTAGAAGTAGCAGTGGCAGCAGGCGCAGTGCAGGGCAGCGCGGCTCGGTGGGGCGGCGCGGCTCGGCTGGGCGGCGCGGCTCGGCTGGGCGGCGCGGCTCGGAGCTGGGCGGCGCGGCGTGGCAGCAGGCGGTGCGGCGCAGGGGGGGGGGGGGGGGGAGGGGCAGCAGGTGGCGGGGTGGCGTGGGTGCTTACCAGGGGGGGGGTGCAGGGCAGGGCCGCAGCTGGTGGTTTTAGGTCAGGGCCACGGCAGGGGGCGACTGTAGGGCAGGACCGCGACCGGGGGCAGCTGCAGGACAGGGCCGCAGCAGGCGGCCGTGCCGTGACGGGCGGCAAGAGGGGCCGTGACGAGCGGCAAAGGGGTCGCCGGGCGGCTAAGGGCCGTGACTGGCGGCTAAGGGGCCGTGACGGGCGGCGAAGGGGCCGTGACTGGCGGCTAAGGGGCCGACGGGCGGCTAAGGGGCCGACGGGCGGCGAAGGGGCCGACGGGCGGCTAAGGGGCTGCGACGGGCGGTTAAGGGGCCGACGGGCGGCTAAGGGGCCGTGACGAGCGGCTAAGGGGCCAGCGACGGGCGGCTAAGGGGCCGTGACGGGCGGCGAAAGGGGCCGACGGGCGGCTAAGGGGCTGCGACGAGCGGCTAAGGGGCCGACGACGGGCGGCTAAGGGGCCGTGACGGGCGGCGAAAGGGGCTGACGGGCGGCTAAGGGGCCGCGACGGGCGGCTAAGGGGCCGACGTGCGGCTAAGGGGCCGTGACGGGCGGCTAAGGGGCCGACGACGGCCGGCTAAGGGGCCATGACGGGCGGCGAAAGGGGCCGACGGGCGGCTAAGGGGCCGCGACGGTCGGCGAAGGGCCCGACGGGCGGCTAAGGGGGGCCGTGACGGGCGGCTAAGGGGCCAACGGGCGGCAAAGGCTGGGCGCGATGCGCGCTTCTGGCAGGGCAGGAGAAATTTTCGTGGTGGGCCCTAAAAAAAAACGTTCCCACTAGGGAACCTGCTCAGAATACAAGTAGGAAATCTAAAAGTGTTGTACCCTATAAGAACTACCCCACTACAGCCTAAACAGACAAAAGTATATATAAGTTTGACACATTTGTCATTATGCATGGCTGTTGGATTTTACCATCTCTGTGCTTTCTCCAAGTTTAAATGCTTGATCATGCAGGAGAAATCCAGAGCTTTCCAACGATACCAAGATCGCCTTATTCTGACCAAGATCGCCCAAGTTACAAGATTTCTAAGACTTGGATTTCTTATTACCTTTTAAGGTTATATCTAATTTGGGTCATTACTTGGGACATGACTATAAAGGGATCTTTGGTTGGGTGGTTAGGGAAGGCAACTTTGACTTTTGGATTGGGGTGGCTAGAAGTTTCTAGCATGGGTTGCAAATGTTGCAACACCTAGGCAAAATCCAACTAGATTGGATTTTGCATGTGACACCTCAAGGACCTCATGATGAGGGTTGCATCCTTGCTGCTAGGAAGGTTCCTACCATCCTTCCCTAGCTCTTGGAGAACCCCTTCCCTCTCATGGTTCTCTTGGAGTCCCCAACTCCAACATTCTATGTCTTAATGTTTGTACTTCCTCTACCATTCTACTTATGCGGCTGCTGGACGTTTTTACTTGGTTCTCACTCTATAGACCATCTTAACGACTGATTCAACTTGGAGATGGTAGCTTAGGCTAAGGCGCACAATCCTACTGAGCGGATTTGCGTTTAGTTGAGAATTGAGTTCATCGTAAGCTCTCAAAGTGACGGATCTTGAACAACAAGTGGTATCAGAGCGGGTAGTCGACTTTGAGACGACGAATCGTCGTGACTTCTCAACCAATATTGACGAGTGAGACCAGTTTTCTAGTAGCTCTGCTCGCGAACTTTCGATTGGTGGTCGAACCGCGTTCTAATTCGAAGTATCCAGTCTGCGACGGCGTTTTTTCGTAGAATCGAAGCTTCTGGCAGAATTCTCTCCAAACGATTTCTCAAGTTTCCACCGTTCATAAGGCCTCAATATGACTGGAACGGACTCTAGAGGTGCTAATGGCGAGATGGCTGGAGCTAGAGAGGCTGGAGAGCAGGGGGGAGTTGCTGGTGGTGGAGTGGGGACTCACCAACCAGCCAACCCTACGCTACCTACTTCTTCTACACCATCTCCTACTACCGTGGATCCTGTGAAAGCTTTATCTATTGAGAAATTCATGGGGGAGGACTACGAGCACTGGAGTTTCCGCATGAGGCTGATGTATACCCAATACAAGCTATTGGATCTGGTGGAGGGGAAGGAGAAGATGCCGGAGGCCGCGGAGCTGAAAGGAGCTTGGATGAAGCGATCGTTCAACGCGTACATGCTCATGGTGCAAGCGGTTGGCGGACGACAACTTGACCACATCAAGGACCTCTTAGGTGATCCAGAGTGTGGCCCCAAGGCTTGGAGGAAGCTTCTGGATGTGCACTCACCGACACATGCTACCGGCATCGTGCTACTCGCGTGGCGGCTGCG